AGAGTGTTTAGTGGGGTCACTAAATGTCAAGCTTTGCATCGGGAGAGCAATAAATAAGGCGGGAAACTCTGCTGTCTCGCGTCTCAGTGACTGGTCTTTCTTTTCCCTGACAGACTCGATTTAGCTTTCGGAAGCTCTGGGCCTTTACTGGACCTGGCTTTCTGATGAGTATTGCATATCTGGATCCAGGAAACATTGAATCTGACCTTCAGTCTGGGGCTATAGCAGGATTTAAGGTACGTCTTTTGCTCTTTTGGGAAAGTTTCCCCATTGTGTCAACGGTTTTCACTTGTTTAAAATTCTGCGCACAAAAATAGTCTGACAGAAGCATACAGCACAGAAACAAACCCTACAGCCCAACTCGTCCATGCCCACCAAGTTTTCTAAACTGAACTAGTCCCATTTGCCTGTGTTTGGCCCATATCCCTCTAAACCCTTCCCCTTCATGTACCTGTCCAAATGTCTTTAAATTTTGTAATTGCACCTATCCTCTACCACTTCCTCTGGCGGCTCATTCCATGCACATATCACCCTCTGTGAGAAAAAGTTGCCCCTCAGGTCCCTTTTAAATCTTTCCCTTCTCACCTTAAACCTATGCCCTCTAGTTTTGGTCTCCCCTACCCTGGGGAGAAGACCTTTGCTGTTCACCTTATTTATGGCCCTCATGATTTTATAAACCTCTGTAAGGTCACAGCTGAGCCTCCTACGCTCCAAGGTAAAAAGTCCCAGCCTACCCAGCCTCTCCTAACTAAAACCTTCCAGTTTCAGTAACATCCTTTTAAATCTTTTTTGCACCCTTTCCAGTTTAACAACATCCTTCCTATAGCAGGGCGACCAGAATTGTACGCAATAGTCCAAATATGACCTTACTAATGACTCGTACAGCCATAACACAACATCCCAACTCCTGTACTCAATGCTTTGACTGATGAAGGCAAGTATGACCACGCTGTCTACCTGTGACGCCACTTTCAAGGAACTATGTGCCTGCACCCCTAGGTCTCTGTTCTACAACACTTCCCAGGACCCTACCATTAACTGTGTAAGTCATGCCCTGGTTTGTTTTTCTAAAGTGCAACAACACCTCACATTTATCTAGATTAAACTCCATCTGCCACTCCTCAGCCCATTGGCCCAGTTGATCAAGATCCCACTGTACTCTCGAATAACCTTCTTCACCGTCCACTCTACCACCAATTTCAAAATCACCTGCAAACCTACCAACCACGTCTCCTATATTCCCATTCATATTGTTTATGTAAATGATGAACAACAGTGGACCTAGCACCCATCCTTGCAGCACGTTGCTGGTCACAGGCCTCCAGTCTGAACAACAACCCTCTAAAACCACCCTCTGCCTCTGACTGTCCAGCCAATTTTGTATCCAATTGGCTAGCTCTCCCTGGATCCCATGCGATCTAACCTTTCCAGGCTGCCATGCAGAATCTTGATGAAGGCCTTGCTAAAGTCCATGTTGACAACGTCTACCAATCTGCATTCATCCATCTTGGTCACCTCTTCAAACAACTCAAGTTAGACATGATTTCCCATGCACCAAGCCATGCTGTGTCCCTAGTCAGTCCTTGCCTTTTCAAATGCATGTAAATCCTGTCCCTCAGAATCCCCTCCAACAACTTACCCATCACTGAGGTCAGGCTCACTGTTCTGTAGTTTCTTTGCTTTTCCCTTCAGTCTTTCTTAAATAATAGCATAACATTAGCCACCCTCAGTCTTCTGGCACCTCACCCATGGCTGTTGATGATACAAAAATCTCTGCTAGGGGCCTCACAATTTCTTCCCTAGCTTCCCACAGTGTCCTGGGATACACTTGATCAGGTCCCTGGGATTTATCAACCATTACACATTTTAATATCTTCAGCATCTCCTCTTCTGTAATGTGGACTCTTTTCATGACATCACTATTTATTTCTGAGTTCCCTAGCTTCCATGTCTTTCTCCATGGTAAATACTGATGTGAAATATTCTTTTAGGATCTCACCCATCTCCTATGGTTCCACACATAGATGGCCTCGTTGATCTTTAAGGGGCCCTATTCTCTCCCTAGTTACTCTTTTGCCCTTATTATACTTGTAAGATCTTTTGGGATTCTCCTTGACCTTATCTGCCAAAGCTGTCTCACGTCCCCTTTCTGCCCTCCTGATTTCCCCCTTTATGTGTACTCCTACACCCCCGATACTCCTCCAGGGAATCACTTGATCCCAATGGCCTATACCTGACATATGCCTCCTTCTTTTTCTTGACCAGAACCCGAATAGCTCTCATCAACCATTGTTCCTTACTCCTGCTAGCTTTGCCCTTCACACTAGTAGGAACATGCTGGCCCTGAACAAAAACA